TGGCCCACTCGCTGTGCGGCTGGGCTCTTCACTCAAAAGGTGCAGGCTCCGCTGGCTCTTTGGCCGTCGTTTTCTGCTGCGTGCCCAGCGTCATGCTCCCTGTCTCTCCGAGGGAGCCCAAGTTCCCACAGTTTCAGTGAATCTGGTTTTATGCTTCGATTTTTATCTGGCGTTTCCTCAAATAGCAGTGAAGGTGAAAGACGTGAAGTACACTTAGTTCTCGTTTTTGAAAGTTGCTGACACTGTGGGCCTTTTTGAGGGGAAACCCTGCGTAGGGAGTACCCTCTTCCTTCCCACACAGGACCTTTGGCACCCCAGAGCAAATGTGCTCATTAAACTGAAGTAAGAAGACAGTAGAACAGAGATCGAGGAAGAAATATTATTGTGGTGCTCAGTTATTTTTTGGGCAAGGTACAAAATTAAGAACAGGAGTAGGACCAGCCTGTGGGCCTTTTTGAGGGGAAACCCTGCGTAGGGAGTACCCTCTTCCTTCCCACACAGGACCTTTGGCACCCCAGAGCAAATGTGCTCATTAAACTGAAGTAAGAAGACAGTAGAACAGAGATCGAGGAAGAAATATTATTGTGGTGCTCAGTTATTTTTTGGGCAAGGTACAAAATTAAGAACAGGAGTAGGACCAGCATAGATGCTACTCTGGCTCTTGAGGAAGGTTCAGTTTATAGGCAGAAATTCCTCTGCAAAACTGTCAAAACATTCCTGTGTACTTTCCTTAACTTCTACATGACGCAAAGTATTTATTATTACCATGGGATGTTTGGTGGTGGTAAAATTTGTTGGGTTTGCCATATGGTTTTTTTAAAAAAGCTGTTTGAATTACCTTTTTCAATAATAACAGACTGTGACCTGTGTTGGTGATTCAACATGCAGTTCTTTTCGCTTTTCATGACTGGAATGTCTGCAGTGAAAACTCTTCTACAGGTTTGTTCTCCAAGAGGGAGAGATGTATTCACAAGGATGAGAAATGTGTATTCACGAGGATGCACTTCTGTGTTGGAAGAGGTCCCAGTGCTCTCATGTAAACTTTAGGTCTAGAAATTATCATAACAGAGCAGAACCAGCTGTTTTTGTGTGACCAGGCCATCAATTGTATTATGCAAATATCAACACACTGTAGTTTCTGTAGCTAGCTCTGTGGTCAGAAGCGTCAGCTTATTTCACTTGCTGCTTGCTGGGTAGAGGAGTGTCACATCTATGGGCATCACAGTTGATTTGAGATGCCTGTAAGCATGGAGGCTCAAATTAACGTACCTGATGTTATAGCTAATTGCCTTTTCTCATGTGGTAGAATTATACCACAGCAAGTTGAAGAGTGAGGGTAGCCTTATTGTCACAA